AGTGGATGCAGTAGTTGGGGTCGTTATGTACAAAGAATATCGAAGATAACATTTATTCTCTTTCAAAGTTGATCCACGCTGGCCCACTTTTACCCAGCACGCAGCACCACACAAACGCGGGCTCAGGAACATTCGAGCTCTTAAGGCTCGGCTGGTTTGTTGTAAGGACATCAGGGGCCGGGTGCAGCAAGCTCCAGCTCGGGTCCCCAAAACTGCATCTCTGGACGCTTTCCCTATTCTTGACCATGAGAGTTGCGTCATCGACCAGAGTAGAGACGCGGAGTTTTGGGGACCTATCCCTGAGTTGGGCCTTGATGCACCTATGGGCAGCTCCTGAGACGCAAGATTTTCTTAATTTGTTACTTGGTAACACAAGGTGTAAAAGATATTCGAAGCTTTTTTTTTCATAGATAGTTGTGATAATAATTTGAAATGGCCGCAGATGTGTCTCCTGCGGCAGTTATTTGCGTTCATTTTGTCGCCTTTTTTCCCAGCGAACTCTTTTTGAGCCTCTTTCGTTGTGCACTTGCACACCGCTCCATGGGTCCGTATGATGGCATCCCTGTTGAAAAAACCAAGCTATCCTATCAAGAATGGAATAAACTGCAGCAAAATCATTGGAAGTCGCTTATCTTCGGCTGTAATTTTCTGGTTTTTAGGTTCTCATGTGACATTACTGATGAAGTATACAAAGTAGATGGCGTTCTTGGCATATATTGAACATCTGAAACAATTTAGCTCCATTGTTGGTTCATCCTCCTCGCAGCCTTTTCTTCCGACAGAAGTTAGTGTGGTGGAAAACGATGTAGCTCGACCTCCATTGCCTGAGTTCGTGGAAATTGCACGGGAACGAGGTTTGTCTGAATTGAAGTTTTTGTATTGTTATAGATTGTTTTCATTTGTGTTGCCATGTCTTATTCTATGGCTTACCAGTTGAGTCGGTATGGTACAGTTGCATTCCATGATTTTCAGGATTCAATCCCTGAATGGAGCTTTTTTGAAGTAAATTCAATGTCATCACCGCCCAAAATAATCAACTAACAACATATGATCCGGCGCTCATCCGGTAAGGGGGGCATTGTGATGCAACGTCAAGTGGCTGCCCTCACCCCCACCCCCTAGACTGCCTTCACTCCCCCTGGCTCACGGGGTCCCGTACTTCGAGAAACCTGTGCGCCAGGGGGAGTGTAGGCAGTCTAGGGGGTGGGGGTGAGGGCAGCCACTTGATGCCCCCCTTACTGGATGAGCGCCCATGATTCTTTTTCCGACCATGATTGATTGTGAGATCCAGACTATTTTGTTGAACATCTCAATTTAGCTTTGACTGGTTGATGGTCAAATCAAATGAGAAATAAGAGCACATTGTTTAACCAGTTTCTTTTAAGCAGAGCCTTACTATGTCTCAAGTACCGTTCAAAATTCGAGCATTATTACAGTCCTAAAGGGGCTGAAAAAATAGAGCATTTTTGCTGGATTGTTTTCGTTGAGGGGTTGTCGAGTCTCTTCAACGAATGCGACAGTAGTTCTTGGTGCTGAATTGTACCAATTTGGCGCCAAATTACTTTAATTTGGTGCGAACTCAGTTCCCACATGAGTCGTTGTTAACCCTTTGACGACCGCCGTTATGAATGCGTCACTTCACTTCTTTCTAAATTTTTTCATCAATAATCATTAACTCTCCAACAATTTCACTATTAGTAATTAGCGCATTATTCCGCGAATTCGATAATGTATTTGTGTAGTTTTGAAACATAAAAAATGCCAAAATAAACCCCTAAAAACGTGTCGCCACCGAGCGAAAGTGTGGCCCACCGGCGGGCCACACGGTCGTCAAAGGGTTAAATTGCTTATAGGGGTAATTCGGTGCCCTGATCACGAAAATGGCTTCCATTCTTTCAGCTGGCACTTTTTGGCGTTACTTTGGAGCCACGGCTGCTTTCAGTTGATTCGGTGAATTTGCGTGCAGTATTTATTCGGCGCACCGAATGGAATACATATTGCAGTGGCGCCAAATTGGCGCATTCTCCAAATTGCACCAATTTGATGCAGCATTTCTTTTCACCATCAGCTGGTAGCCCATATAGTGATGGACCGGTGCCCTGACCATGAATTCGCCATCCATTTTTAGTACTGCTTTTCTGCTCGCCCACCTCTCTCACTTTTGAGCCGCTCATGGCTAATCCTGGAAGAGCAGGGGCTCAGTTGTAGGTGAGCACTAATCCTGTGGTCTGTACATGCTACAACATTTACCCACGGTGATTACTCACCCATTTCGGTGCTCCTCCTTCTTCAAGCTCAGACTAAGCGCAATCTAACACTGATAGGAGGCTGACGAGCAGAAAAGTGGAGGTAAACAATGCTAGCGCACCAAATGTCATGTTCGGGATCAAAACGCCAAACTGGTTAGTTTTCACCAAATTCTGTGAAAAGCAGCCATTGCCGAAAAGAAGTGTCATATTTGTGGTCAGGGATTTCAACAGCACGCACAGGAAATCATTCGGCGAGATTTGTTGCTCCTTCCCATTCTCAGTGGGATTGTGCCAGTAAAGCCAAAATTTGGTTTTGTATTGTTCTGATTGTATGAGCCATGTTGTCTACGGAACACATCGAATAGCTATGCGTATCTCTCCGATCAATGCTATCTATAGGCGCTCGCTTCCGTTTCCTCCCCTCCGCTCCTTATCAGCTCATTTGTTTGAAAGGCATTTTATCACCCTGAATTTTCGTTCGCAAACTCTTGGATCTGAATTCTCTATTCATGTGAGTTTTGCCGATAGTATTGTGGTTTTAATGGCTACACCGCTGCTTCGATAATAATCCATTCGTTTCTCGTGCGCTAGTAGTCAGCAGATAACTCAGGTTTATATACGCGCAAAGATGAAGTACTGCTCGATCCCGCTAGACTTTCAAAAATTGCGGAAACACATATCTTCGCCTCACTTCATAACTTAGTGTACGCGTCAATATTGGTGGCCCTTAGATCGTTTATTTCAACCGCAACTCCTTTGCCTAACTAGCGTACCTATAATATCCCTTCGTTCTATTGTTATCTACCTCATCCGGTCAAAAGGAAGTTGAAGAGCATCGACTTACTTGCCTTATTAGGCATTAACGATTTTGAATAACATGTGTCTGAGAACTTCCCGCTTGTGGGTAAAATATTGTCTAATTGGGAGTTCATTTCAAACCCATCTTCCCGATTTGTACCTGGTTTGGTTTCTATCTTATTATTGTAGCGCACTTACGAGTGCATAGTAGTAACCAAATAAATAAATAAATAATATGATACTAATATTCTGAGGCTTCAGATATTCCTGTGAAATTCAGAATGAAATATTTCACATTTTATAGTCCGCTGTCAGTTTCTACTGCTATCATTCACTTTTTCCAGTGGGACAATGACTGCTGCAGATCGTTTATTTTGTTCGCAGCGGTACGTGCGCGAATGAAAAAAAAATCCAGCTCGGGATACAATTTCGCAAAGCAGCGCAAACAATACTGCACTTTTCTCACATTTTTATGACAATGAGAAGTCTTGGTATTGGATCCATCGGGGTGATCGTAATGCAGAAACACACTTCAACACTTTCCATCATGGGACATCATTGTGATTCTCTTGCTTGCTTTATGCTTGTTTTCAAAATGCATTATTTTCTTCCTAGCTGGTCAGAGTCCGCGATCCGTCGCAAGTTTCGCTGATTTTCGCGATTTGCGCGATTCACACGGCGACGGATCGCAACAAATTGCAAGTGTGTGAACATTTGATACACTGAATATGAAACAAATGGAATCATGAGCAGTTGTCATTCAGCCTCCCTATCAAGCAGAAGTCGGCGCATCATGATTGGATAATACTTACTGTACGATCGGGCCACTTGTGATTTCCCGTCGGGTTAATCGTGCAAATCGCGGAAAATCATAGCCGAAACCTGAACCTCGGATCGTGGTCGTGGACTCTGATACCGAGCCACGTTGCAGTGTTACAATCCAATAAGCGCTATGAAACAAAAAAAAGGACGAAAAAAGAGCAAAACTATGAAAAATCGATTCACATGTGTGCAGTTCACAGTAACGCGTTTATCCTCTCCATCTTCTCGGGTACTTCTATTATTTAGTTTCGTTGTGGGTGGATATGATTCATCAGGGTGAGGGAGGGGAGCAACATATACTGTGCACAAACCGACACCTGCCGCACGTAGAACGTGGTGTCACCTGATAGCTTTATCCTATCAATCCCACTGTACACCCTTTCCAAATTTTATCATCTTGTCAATACCGACAAGGTGAACAATATTTTCTGCATTTCATTTACAAACAAATATTATTTCCGTGTGTTTAGAAAAATGCCTGTAGTCGCGAAAGAATGCCGCATAGATTTATTAGCTACGCTGTACGTGCTCCTCCCCTCACCTGATACCGGCATTTCAGCGGATAAGTGAAGCAAGAAGTCCAAAAAAATCCTTACCCCAATATGACTCTCTGGAGCGCAGCACCATCCATATACTTCTCACTTCTTTTTCATTGTTTATGCTTGTTGAAATTCATCTTTGATTTCTTTCTTTGGGCATAAATCTGACATTTTTTCAGTGCCCAACCATGAACGCAAACGTTCACTGCTAGCACCTGTTTCCGGCATCAATCGAAACTAGGAACAGTATATCATTCGGCTAATTATTCATGTTTCGGGCACAGGGTATAATAACAGATTGTGAGGGATCCGAGCTCTTCTATTTTGAGCTATCGTCGCGCCATCCTTCTACCACTCGTCGCCCAAGATTGAACAAATGTAGATTTGATCCTCCAAAGAGGACGCCAAGACCTTCAACATAGTCCGTCGATGGCTTCCCCCCTTATTTTTTTCGTCGTGATTCCCTTCATAGTACTCAAGTTGCAAACTGTTCAGCTGCCTGTACCCGCATTAGTGCTGGATCGCCCGATGACAATGACAATTTGCTGTACTTTGCAAGCATAAATTCTACTGAATCTTTAAGCAACGGTCTGCCAAGTTTCCTTCAATATAATTGTGTGGAACGATGCGCTAACCCTAGTCAGAATTTGAGAAGGGTGACTGAACAAAAATTCATATTGGAAAACCGCTAGAAAGGGAATTGAACAGCTTCGAAGTGGGCGTAGTTGCTCAATACGCGGAGGGGAATCCGACAAATACTTCGAGAAAACTTTTCGTGCTCCATCCCTTTTCGATGGACTGTAGTTTTTCTGTATGTATAGCTAAGCTTTGATTTCATTCCATTACAGATCTCGAGTGACTCCGTTTTATCCATTCGTTTCTCGCCAACTGTAAGCGATTCTGACACTGATGACGACAATGCAGTGCAAAATGCTGGAAGAAGTTGGAGCAGCTCAGTTGCTGAAATGGTTCGACAACGCCTTGCAATAGTAGGCGAAGCAGCTAATCAATTGGCTGGGCCAGCAATTACACGACGATCGTGTTCGTTTCACCTTACTGTTTGCTTTTTTTGCTATTATTATTTACTTTTTTGGGCTGCATTTGAAATTGCCTTCATATAATTTTTAACCTGTCATTAATTTTTTACATGTGAGAATATACGATGAATAAATTTGTTTCGAACTGCAAAGATCACTTTCACAGTCAGTGTCTGACGATGTACTTTTCATACACGCGATGAACAAAGCCCTACTGTTCACCGCATCGTGGAGTATTCGCACCACCTCGTCCCGGATATTGACAAGATCATCAACTCTAGTTACTACTGGGGTGTGATGGATCGATTTCAGGCAGAGCAGTTGTTGGAAGGGAAACCTGAAGGAGCGTTGTTTGAAGTTTTTTTCTCTTTCCTATCTTTCAAAAACGCTTCCTCATTTGGTCCCCTTTGGTTGCGTGCCGCGCGGCCGTGATATGATAGTCGCCTGGGAATTGTTGCTGATGGAGTGTTTTCCAAACTAACCCGCACCGTTCGCGGCACTCCAACTCGCTCGCGCTTGCCGCGGCTCGCGCCACATAAAGTTTGAAAGTGGGAGGGGAGCATTCTTCACTAGCAATTGCTATTTTAGGGACTTTTCTTCTTCGTGATAGTGCTCAGACGGAATATTTATTTTCGGTCTCTTTTCGTCGTTATCAACGTACCTTGCATGCTAGAATTGAACAGGTGAATTATTGTGCAGCTACAATTTGTTTACTACAAATTTTGCAATGTGTTTACTTGCAAGTTGTTTTCCGTTAAGGTTCTTTGCTGCTATTTTGTTCGTGAAATTTAATTTGTTGTTCAGGGAAACCATCGCTTTAGTTTTGATATTCATGATCAAAGTGTATTCTCAGCGCCAACCATAACCAAACTAATTGAGAAATACAAGGATCCGGCGAGGTAAGAGCATTCTATTCTGAGATGATTAATTTTTGCAATGTCTTTTGTCTAGGTGCCTCTTTTTCGAGCCACAGCTCACTCATCCACTTCATCGCGGTCGCGTGTTCTCTCTTCAGGTTGGTATTCTACGTGTTTGTAAGCATATTGTAGTCATTTTTCTTTGGTTTGAAGAACTGTTAAACGGTAAGGTGTTCCACGTTCAGGAACTTTGCCGAGGTGTCATCGTCAGTCGCACTACCTACACAGGCGTAGCTAGTTTACGTCTTCCACCAAAGCTTAAACAATATATCCGCGAATATCACTACACAATACCCGTAAGAACCGTAACGCTATCAGAATGATTTGAAGCGTTCTAGTGCCAAGTATCTACATTCATCGTCTTCCATTGTATTTGTTTAAAAGTATGTATATTGTTGCTGTAACTGTTGTAATTGTTTCTTCATTTGTGTTTAGTGCTTACCGTACTCGCATGATCTACGCATAGAATTGTATTCGTATTCTCACATTCTCGAATCTACATGTTGCTTTTACGATTATAGGTGTATATCAATTGTAAACAAACCAAAGCATAATCATATTAAAAGCTTTAGTGATGCAGAAGCATTAATAAATTTGTTTTGTCATTATCGTGTTATCTGGAATTAGTGGTCTAAAACCTCGGTCATCGATCCTATCTTGGTGCACGCTTTCAGCTAATTCTTCGAGGAAATTAAAAAAAAAACCGCAGGACGTATAATGACGGCAATTTATCATCGTGATAGCCCATCGAGCTGCTATTGAAGCTGTTTTTCTAGGTGAAATCGTCATGGTGAAGAAAAAGGGGAAGAAGTTCAGACCGAAGTTGAATAGTCTCGCAAGGAAACGTAAGACATTAGAAAAGAACAAGAAGAAATGTCGGAGCACTGTGTGAGTTTCAAATGCATTACAGTCAATGTTTCTTACGCGCATGTGCATGAGTACTCCCACTTGGCCTAATCCTGCTCTGGGCACAAAGTCGTGTGGTTCCGTGAGGCCTCAGAGTTTATGAGGATATTACAGCGCTTGCCTAATTTTCGTTTTGCCGTGCTCGATCTCTCTAGAATCCCAGCTTTAAATGTTGTGTAACACATAGAGGCAAAATTCTATTTCAAAAGTTCCCGAAAACTCTAAGTATTCCAAAAAATCCCAATAAATTCTAGTACTCCAAAAAAATCTCAAAAATTCCAAAGTATAAAGAAACATTCCTAGAATTCTTTGAGATCTTCCGCGATATTTCCGTGTGTAACATCTTCGTCAGGCCTGGAATAAATAGAAGGTAAAGGTACTATTACTCACCGACGATTTCGGAGGAGTTCTTCTTGGATTGTTTCTTGGGATTTTTCTAGTTTTTTTTTGGTTTTTTTTTTCTTGAATGAGTGGAGTTTTTGTGAACTTTCGAAATCCCTTTGAAATAAAATTTTTCACCTTTGTGTCATGCAACATTTTGGTCCTGTTGAGGCTCAGGGACAGCGCAATACTAAGAAGTCCCGCTTTGTTCATTCAGCTAATCCATCGAATAAAGTGCTTGAAGTGCTGAATTGATGCAATTTGTTTTAGCAAGGTCATAAAAGAGAATTGGGAAACTACTAAAACTCCTCGGGAAAATGCACTCTCAATGGGATTAGCATTCAACTCCAATGAGGCAGTCCCGGTGGTACAACCTCATGTGAGTTTTCAGCACTTATTTATATTTGTTAATATCCCAGTAAGTCTAATGCATTTAAGCGAGATATCATCGATATGGTGACCATCGAAGAAATGGATTTGGCTGAGGCTCGAGCGTTAGGAACAGTAGCAGAACAAAGACGCAAAAAGCAGCAGGAGAAAAACGCTGTCCTCACAAAGGAAAAGGTATTATCCTCAACTTGAACTTTTTTGCATTATTTCTATGTGTACGTTACCCTTATAGGCAGTGAAGGTGGTTTCGACTTTGGAGTCTGAAGCCGCTGAGCAGCAAGGCTTTACGAGAATCTTCCGTAAGGACTGTGCGGTTACCAGATAGAGATGTGGAATTGTTGATATATCTCTCTGAAAGATACGGGAGTGATTACAAGGTACGTTCCACTCTGCAAGTTACTCGAATTACGCTAAATTGACATAGACGTTTGCTTTCATTTTTGCTGAGAAAGGCGCGTTTTGTTAGTTGCTTCTCCCTTATTTTTGCTCTAGAGCTGTTTTCTAAGCTTTTCTAGCTTTAATTCTAGCAACAAATTATCAAGTCAACAACAAGTGAGCTAAATAAAATAGGCAAAAACAACATCTTAAATTACGCACTTACTATACCAATAGTGCTCATTTTACTATACGAGCTTATCTAGGGGAGCTAGAGTATTGTCATTTACGGCTGCGGCATTACTCATAATATATACGCAATATACGAAAAAATGTTTTGTGCAGTAATAGTTTGGGAAGTTGTGTAGGAGGCGAGGTCCTCGAAGGTACTGAGGGGATGGTCATTGAATATCGAACGTTCTCATAAATCAGCCGGAAGGTTTGAGACCAAATTTGCTAAGAACTGAGGAGAAGGGCGCTACCGGGCTATTCGTAACTCATTTAGGGTTTCAAGTCACACTTACCTTAGTAGGTTGAAAATTACGGCAAAGTTAGTGAGGCGTGCCGCAATCGCGGTTCCGAAAAGTCTTCTGCCCTTCCTCTACCTTCTTCCATCCACTAGAAACGACCTTTCTCGTTCGGATTGAGATTTGCGGTGTAGAGTGGATTCCCCTCAATAACCTGAGCCTGAGCCTCAAATGGGTCAATCTTTTTCGCGATGTACCTCAGCCGCCGACCCACAGATCTGACTCTACAAAAAATGAACCAGTGGGGTGCTGATCTTTGCCACTGACGTCTTGCTCACCCGAACTTTTATCTATTCACAGCCACTTTCAATCTTCGGGATAGCCTCTTTGAAGGTGAATGCCATGAAACCTAAAATGGTGGTGGAACGAACTTCGCCGATTTCATCGCCTTCAGAGCTCCAGTTTGCTCCTGCTTCAACTCATTTGATGTTGGCTAGGAAGAGCAGAGTAAGGAAAAGGGTTGATCAAAGTGGAGCAAATGTGACCCATATTCCTACGTATCACGAATTTGGTATCATTTCGGGTCCTTTCACCGTACTATTGGAATCGGCTAGGCCTAAAAAGAAACGTTTAGCGTGATCGGCGACTTTTTCACAAATCTACGAGCTAACATTGGATCTTGAAAAACTAATGAAATCAGTCAATAACCAATGAAAGTCAAGTAATCGTAATATTTTCTTAGGCAATGGCAAGAGATCCAAAAAATCTCTTCCAATACACACCGAAGAAGATAAACAATCTGATGAAAATCTACCGATCGTCTGGCTTTTACAAAGTAATTGAGAATCAAGTATGATCTTTATCTGTATATCGTTGAAAAAATTATGAGATAGTCTGATAGTTTTTCGATTATTCGGGATCTTACAAATCTACTGAAAACTTGTTTTTCATCTGCGCATGCATTATTTTTGCGTAATCCTGTGAAATTCTCCTGATTTTGCTGTTGTTGTTATGAGCTGGTTTCACTTGTTGTTTCGTTGAGTTGATTGTTGAATGAAATATTTTCTTTGTTGCTACTGTAGTTGTAGACTCATTATGTACAAAATATTCATTGATAGATCAAAGACAATCTGTGAGAGCAAAAAAATGTTCGTACACAAAATATCTGCATTTTGAGCGTGTCGTTGTTGATCTGACGAAACACTCACATCATACCTGCCTTCTGGAGATTCTTCTGAATAATGGTGTCGATCACACTGGATATGACGAGTTGTACCTAAAATCGTGTTGCACTAACCATGTATATGGTTTGGATTTCTTTTGAGGCTATTTAGAGCAGGAAGTCTCACTCACTTGGTTCGTGTCAGTTGCGCATGTTTCATGCATGTAGATGGTCTTTTTGTCGGGATTCAAGTTGAGCTCGGCGAATTTCAGTTTGATAAATGCGACGGCTTCGTCGTAGTTTTGGCCACCTACAATGGAAGAACTATTAGAGGGCGCTGCCTCTAAAACAACCAAGTGGAAGAACTACCAGAAGGCAGGCACTGCTACTATTTCATGAAAAGTGACCGGAACAATTGCTCAGGGCCTTGAGCGTTGGCTACATGTTCCCTTATTGTGCCGCGAATGCTACCTTCATTCGAGATCGTAATAGCATTCGAATGAGATTTGGCAAAAGCTAGGGCTTGTGGGAGCCAGCTCGTGTACATATCAACGTTGATTCTCCTATAGGAATTTGTGCCAATTAATTCGACCCTAGCGCGATGGAGGAATTGGTTTGCTTGGGTCTGATTCGATCCGAGATCTTAACGGGGCTCGTGCTTGTGTTAAGCGACGCAACTAGCCGCTTAGTGATCCCTGGTGCTCCATAGAGGTTACGGAGAAGATGCCAACCATCGTGTGGGAGTCTAGTCAGAAAAGCACCGACTTCGTTCTTTTTTAAAACTTAGCCTTTTAAAGGAGGGATAGAAAGCGAACTTTCTGTGTTAGTGTGCGAGAGTGTCCAGATAACACTACAAAACGGAGTCACCAATTCCCCCCGGTTGACAGCTGTCATTGGAGCTCCATAGCGGTAGAAAATTTGATTCATTTGGGTAGTAAATGTTCAATCTGATATTAATTTTTTGCTTTTCTAATGTTCTCGGTTGTATAATTGGCCAACAGAAAAGATGAAATGGCCGCATGTGATGAACTAGTCTGGGTTGAGCCATGCATCCGGCTGGTTCTTTCGTTCCATCTACGCGATTAAATGCGTCTGGGTAAATAAAACGCTTAAGAAGGCCAGAAATAATTTGTTGCTAACAATCAACCGATTCGAAAGGACGACAACTTTGTTTGACGGGAGCGTAACTATTATACTATGAGGAAATGCTATTTATGACCTCACAATAGCGTGGATTGCGCACCCACCTTCATAATCAGGAAATGCAGTGGTGATGTTGACCCTTTTGATTTTCTCCATGAAGAGATCCTTTTTGTTCAAAAAGAGAATCATTAGCTGTCGAAAGAAACCACGTGCTATTGCAAATCGAATTGAACAGCTGCATCGATTCTATCATACGATTCTGAAACAAACAATTATTCAGGCGACTTGTTTTGTTTGTTAATTGCTGTTTTGGCGCTGCAGTTCACAATAATGTTGGATTATGGGTAAAGCATTTTGTCCCAGCCGGGAATGAAACCGAACCACTCGCTTGACAATATCCACCATCAGAAATGGAGTTGTCAAGACAGCAGCTGAGAAAGATAGAGGCGCAGGTTTGATTTCCGCTTGGGGCAGTGTTTTGCCCCTAACCCAGCATTCTCGGAAACTTGTTGAAGGTTGGGAATTGGTAGGATCTTGTCTATTGGACATGTTGACGTCCTACAGAGCTACAAACTTAAATTTTATCCGCTTATGAGGATCACAACGTATTTCTGGAGTTGGGTGGGGGGGTGTGAAGTGGGATGTGCTTAAAGCAACAATCCAGGAACGAATTCGCGGGTAAGGACCACCTATAATGACGTTGCAGGTGAGAAGTTGGTCAATGGAGAAAGAAAAAGTAGAAAAAACGTCGGGCAGGGGCTTAGACAGGGACTCCCCCTGCCGTTTAGGGAGACGTGTGTTGGACGAGTTGTCCGAACCTGCCCGTAGTACATGCGCTCCAGTTGACTGCTGGCAAATAGCCATGCATGCTTGCAAATACATAACTATTTGCCAGCAATCGAAATTGAAGCGCTTCAATTGGGTTCTTATGGAATCGACCTCATACAGCGCGGCGGTCCCGCAACGACCGCTAGTCGAGCAAGCGCTCTGCACAGCGAATGTTGGGCGATCCGCCTCTTTATGGGTGATCCGCCCCCTCCAAGAGGACTTCGACCCCTTCCAGCGCATTTTAGAGGTAGGTTTTGAAATTAAAGACATTTCCTATAAACTTTAGTTGGGCTGGGGCATGTTTTGACCGCCTAATGACCAAGTAGTTGAAACCCTGCCTGGACTGTTGCTTTAATAAATAGCAGGCCAAAGCGATCATGTACCAGCCCAAAAGGCGGATTCGGGGTTCTTTTGCTTATGGCCGTGTTGCCGCTAAATGATGGGGAGCAGGGTTTCAGTGTGAGAGACGTAGAGAGTTGGTGGCAGGAGGATTTCGTAGAAAATGAGAGACACGTCAGAACGTTTGCGTGAAGGGACTGCGCTGTAGGCCGCCTTTTACTTAATGTTACTTTTGCTGGACAACAGTCCTTATGGTGGGTAATGGGAGCAAGGAAGGACGGTAGGGAGGAGGAGAAACAGAAATCTCCAAATTTCCCATTCCGTGTTCTTCGGGCGATCGTCTTTCTCCTGTTGCGCCACGCTTTCGTGTTATTTACCGCTTTTTTGGACCGTGCAATCTATCTACCACTATGTACTTTGAACCATATTCATTATATAGTCCGCCTTGTATTTAGTCAATATATAATAGTGAACACGAGAAATAAAAAGGGCCCAAAAATATGTCGTAATCATAAAATGTGCGCATATTCAACGTATGCTGTTGGCGCTGACGCCAAAATTATGGTCAAGAATTCATTCGAGTTGTAATGTTCAATGATCCCTTTTCGCCTTGAGTTTGTAGTATTATCGGTGTGTATTTATTAATTACGGGCGGCATTTCGTTGCGTAAATATGACCAAGGAGAAATGGAGAGATAACCTATTGAGCACCTTCATTAGCAGTGAATAGGCGCACTTGGCTAATCCTCGTATGGCACTGATTGCTACATTAATAAATGTGAACGAGAATCTAAAAGTGTACCAGAAATGATGGCAGTCATAACGCACAGGTCTTGACTACATACCCCACAGCTTACGTGAGTGAAGGACATGCAAGGGTGAGAGAGCATGGCAACGAAGGGACAAAATAGCATTGGAACGAGAGATACATAGACACTAGCGCGGATCGAGCTGTGGAAAAGAAGGGGACTGCTAGCGGAATGATCATACATAGGCTTCGAAACGCAAATCCTGCCTGGGCGGATCGTACCAGTCTACCTCAATGACTGAGGAAGTATATCACACAGTCAGTCGCAAAACGCACCATAAAGGCCAATTTCACGGTAAAAGGCAACCATTAAAAATTAATAAGGTGCTCAGTTATGCAGTGGTGATAAAAAAAAACCAAGGAACGGCTTAATCCGAGAAATGGAGACTTTTGGCGAGGCAGTTTCGCGCAACAGGGAGGGGGGAGGGTTGATCTATTCTGCTGATTCATCACTGTGAGCCTTTCTCTGCTTAATAATTCTTGCTTTAACTACTCAAAATGTATGAACTACTACAAAATAGGAATGAAATGCAAACACTGCCAGTGTGTCTCTGTTAAGTGGATAGAATCCACGGCTACACTCCGATGGCCAGGGCCTGTAAGAGCGGCAGCACCGCAACCGCGGAAAGACGCTAAGGCGCCGAAGAGAACCTGCGCCGGCAAAACGGCGTCCTTATGCTGATACGAAGAAGCCCACCGTGTTAAAGCAACAGTCCAGGCAGGGTTTCAACTACTTGGTCATTAGGCGGTCAAAACATGCCCCAGCCCAACTAAAGTTTATAGGAAATGTCTTTAATTTCAAAACCTACCTCTAAAATGCGCTGGAAGGGGTCGAAGTCCTCTTGGAGGGGGCGGATCACCCATAAAGAGGCGGATCGCCCAACATACGCTGTGCAGAGTCCGCGCTTGACTAGCGATCGTTGCGGGACCGCCGCGCTGTATGAGGTCGATTCCATAAGAACGCAATTGAAGCGCTTCAATTTCGATTGCTGGCAAGTAGTTATGTATTTGCAAGCATGCAGCTATTTGCCAGCAGTTGCAATTAAAGCGCATGTACTACGGGCAGGTTCGGACAACTCGTCCAACACACGTCTCCCTAAACGGCAGGGCATGTCCCTGTCTAAGCCCCAGTTGGGCGTTTTTCTTCACTTTTTCTCTTTACGTTCGACCACTTTTCACCTACAACTTCCATATAGGTGCTTTTGGCCCGCAAATTCGTTCCTGGACTGTTGCTTTTAAGTTATGATGGAT